GCACGAACCCGTGTCCCCTGCATCGGCAGGCGGACTCTCAACCACTGCGCCACCAGGGAAGCCCAGTTTTATACTTTTTAAGTTAATTTTCCTTCTTATCTTGCCAACTATCTCTGTGGGACAGGGGAATGTAAATTCATGATGCTCTTGAAAAAGTGCAAAATTGGAAATTTTTTTGTAATTGAGGATTCCCATTTGTCTTCCATTCAATGCAGTTTCCTGTAAAAATGTGAATTGGTCTGTTTCTCCAGGAAAAGAAAAATAAATCTCACAGATGTACTTATTACCTTCCTGGTTTACTAGGATATGCTCACATGGGGGGCGGGGGGCGGGCAATCAGGTCTGATCAGCATGTCTTTTAACCAGAAGGACTGTGCCAACCATTTCTGAGCTTACAGGAGTGAACCTTCACCTAGAGCTTCCCTTTTCATTCCAGCCCTTTAAAGGAAGAAAAAAGAATCCAGTATTGAGATTTGAGTGTATTTCATGTATCTAAAATTATTCATGGCTAGGAGACAAGAAGAATCGACAGGGAAAAAATTGTCTTTCTTTTTGTTTTTCAAGAGTGCGTGTGGGAAAAAAAAAAAAAAAATGCATGTGATACCTCCTTTGCTCATTCTCCCCTGCTGGTTTGACCTCAGTTCCCCTAACCTCTAAATTCTGCAATGCATTGAGGCTCAATGCTTTCTCATCTCTTCTCTTCTCTCCTCTTAAAGTTTCAGTTCTGTAAGATAAATAATTTCTAGAGATCTACTATACAACATCAGTTGCCATAATTAATAATATTGTGCTGTACACTTAAAATTTTGTTAAAAGGGCCGATCCCATGTTAAATGTTTTTACTACAATAAAAAATATAAAGATACATTTAGGAGGATGATGAGGAAGATTTTTTTTAACACTGTCAATCTTCAGATTATGGAATAATCTCCCAAAGGAAACGTGAAAATGCTGTCATTTAAGACATTTGAAACCAGACTGAAGAAAAGCACACAAACACATAAAGTTGGCTTTGTCCTTCTCACTACGTGGGTGACAAGACCCGCACAAGCATGACCTAAGACAGCGATGGACTCCACAGACTGTGGGCACTCTCCAGACCACCCACTAGTGGGAGGGAAAAAAAGATGAAGATTGGGCTGGAACTGATGACTCACATCAGGATGACTTGCTCAGCATGTTCCTGGCTCAGTTACAACATTCCCAGGGTGCTAGGAAAGAAGCACTTACACCACGTCACCATACCTCCAGCTCAGAGAAGTTTCCAGGGAATACAGGAGGCTCTTCTCCACTCTGCCCTACTTTTGGAATTGGCCTGTGTTGTGCTTTGTTTTGTTTTAAAATAAGAAACAACTCCTGTAGAACACCAGACCATGCAATTTATAAAGGACAGACAGACCTTAGACCAGGAGTCAGCCAACTATGGCCCAAAAGCCAAATCTGGCCCACGGCCTGTTTCTCTAAATAAAGTTTTATTGGAAGACATCCAAGGCCATTCATTTGCATAGGTCTATGGCTGCTTTCATAGTTCAGTGGCAGAGCAGAATAGTTGCAACAAAGACCGCATGACCCACAAAACCTAAATTCTTATTATCTGACTCTTTACTAAGGCTGATCCCTGCCTCAGACTACTAAATTTGAGAATACTAATTCAGGAATCTTCAAGGTAAAATATGTTTTAAAATTGTTGCCTTCTTCCCTTCTTCTAAGTTATAAAACAGAAAAAAATAATTTTTTAATTTGAATAGAATATGCCAGCTTTCTATGAATCTAGTCCAGGACATCACATGCCAGAGGCTGAAGCACACACACATCTATGACGCCCAAAATAGTATAATGATGAAGAATGGAAGCACTAGAATGAGAAAGACCTGAGCGTGAATCCCAGATTTGTGATATATCAGCTGTGTGACCTTTGGCAAGTTACACATTCTTTCTAGCTTCACCTTGAAATAAAGTAAAAAATATTATCCAGCTCACAGGGTTCTTGCAAGGAGTGAATGAATTACTGTATGTAAAGCCCAGAGCCTGGTACATTGACATGTGCTCAAAAAACTACCTAGTTTTATGATTATTATATTAACAACAACTTAAAATTTAGGGGGGGTCAAGTTTCTGAGGTTGAATATAAAGCTGATAAAAACAAATGCATCACTTGTTATGCGTTACCTGGGCAATTTTCTCCACGATCTCCACAGAGAAGGCCATCATTTTCAGGACTCCTGGTTGAATTCCCATCTGCCACAACACAGTGGAGGATCACTAGACCTTCAATTTTAAAACAGAACCAAAACAAACATGAAAACTTGTTCAACGAAAATGTGCTCAATGTGAAAGTTTCTATCAAAGTCATGATGATTTATGAAAATAACAAGCCTGTGGCTCCCATTTCCAAGTCATTCTCCTGCAGCAAGGGAGGGCTACACAGGCCAGTGTGTCTCATTTTTTAAGCTCAGGGCTCAAGACAGAATTTTCAAGCCAGCATCACTTACATCTGACAAGCCCTGGCCCCTTAAATGAGGAGACTTGACCATAGTTGTGATGGAGCCTTATCCTACAAGCAGAAGAACAGAGGGAGTTCTCAGCCAGCGGATGAATACACTGATGAATTTCCAGGGAGAAGGGATGATGAACCTGTGTAGCAATGTAGTTTCTCCATGCCACACGGACCCAGTGTTTTTCAGGTATAAACTGTTGAGTGTGCTTCTTTCTGGGGAGATGCGAACTAGATATTCAATTCATAGGCATTATTTAAAAAATTAAAATTCTTCCAGCTAAGTACCTCTGTCTCTGACAAGGACAGGCTTCATAGAAAGGCATGGGGAAGAGAGGAACACTGTGTTGAGGTTAGGACAGCTTAGAATACAAAGTGTAGTCCTTGCGAGGGTCCTGATTCAAACAAAGCAACAGTAAAAATCACTTATGAGATAATTAAGGAAATCTGACATTGTCTGGACATTAGAGAATATTAAGAAATTGTTATAGTTTCAAGTGTGATAATGATATTGTGGTTTGGATATAAAAAACAGAGTCCATAATCTCTTAGAGATATTAAGGAAATTATTAAGGAAATTAATGAATCTCTGATTTGCTTTAAAATAATCCAACCAGGGAAGAGGGCTGTGAGGTAGCGAGGGAAAGGCATAGATGAAACAAGATTGGCCACATATTGGTAACTGTTGAAGCCGGGTGGTGGGTATATCAAGGGTCACTCTGCTGTTCTCTCTACTTTTATATATTTTTTTAAATATCTACAATAAGAGTTGGAGAGGGGAGGGCAGTGGAGGAGAGATAAGACGGCTTGGTAGTTAACTTTTCCTGAGTTCACAACCTGCTTTTGCCACTTGACAGCCATGCACATTGGGCAAGTTTTATAACCTCTCAGTTTCCTCATCAGCAAAGTGGAGATGATTATAATCTCTTCTTCAGAGCATTGTGAGGATTCATCCAGGTAAGTGTGCAAAGCACTTAATACACTGCTGGCACATAATCGATGTTCAGTTAAATTCTCATTATTATGTAACTGGTAGGAACAGAGTAACTTGCCCACGGGTTGTATTGACATTTATACATCTAGCCAAGGTTCTAAACTATACATGTCCTCCAGTACAATTCAGTTCAACAAATATCCACGAGCACCCAGAAACACACAGGTGGATAGGACATGCTCTACCCTCAAACTGCTCCAAAGCTACTAAGGCAGGTAAATAGCCAGCCAAGTAACCAAAACACAAAGTGATACTATTGTACCAGAGAACAATAGTATCCAGAAAGGTCAAAAGCCAAAAGGTCTTCAAAAAGAGTTTTTCAAAACAGAAATTCTTTTCTATCTCTATTGAATTCGAAAAAATTTTTTTTTTAAAAAAGAGGTGGTAACTAGCATTGGAAACAGTGAAGAGAAATAGAAACTCATATCCATTGGGGTTGGGTAAATTGGTATTACTTTTCTGGAGGACAATTTAGCACTATGTGTGCTAAAAGCTAAAAGCTTAAAATTGTACATGCACTTAAATCCAGTAATTTCATTTCTAGTAAGTTTTCCTAAGGAAATAATTTAACATACATAAAAAGATTTCGCTACAAAATTTCTCCATGTGACATTGGTTATAAAAAATTAGAAATTACCTAAATATCTAACAATAGAGAATTGATTAAATATATGGAATACTTCCATGCAATAAAATGCTATTCAGCCATAAAAAATGATTTTCAAACATTTCAAAATATTCCTCAGTAAGAGATGCAGGCTACAGAATAGTGATGTAGTGGGATCTGTGTGTTTGCGTCTGTTTGTGATAAGTATAAAAATATCCATACAGATAAATAGTCAAAAAAGTTGGGTAAGTAAGTAGGTAGAGAGTTGCCCACAATGGTTAGAAGAAGACTTTTTCCTTAATTTTCTTTATTTGCACTTTCTTATTTTTCTATCTGAATATTCTGTTTATTGCATCAAGAAAAAAGGAGTAGATCAAAATTTTAAAAAAACAACAATAACAATTTGGCAACCAAATTTCCAGAATTTTCCTATCTTTTATCCCAATACCTGGCTCCCTCCTTTCACACTTAGAACAAACCAGAAACAATCATTTAGGACTTCTCAAGCACAGGAATTGTATATTAATCAGTTTGGTAATCCTGGAATCTAACAACAGAATACAATGGATATTCAACAAATGTTGAAAGATTGACCAATCTTAGGTCAACCTATAAACAAACTAAACAATCAATTTCTAGTGGAAAATTTTAACCATCTTCTTTTTTACTATAAAAACAGATTTAAATCATTTTTTAAATCCCATACATGGGCTTTCTTCATGGGCAGATTCAAGAGGCATTAATTCTGCAGTTGATCTGTTCTGATGATGGAAATTGAAAAATAAACTAAATCTCATAGAGATTCAACATCTGCAAACTGAAGATGACAATATCTCTGCCTCAGGGCTATTGTACAAACTAAGTTGAGTAACATAAGAAAAGGCACGCACAGGGCCTGGCACATAGTATACAATTTTTACTCTTCTGCTCCTTCCCACTATCACTTATGATTTAACACATCATTCTTTATTTCCACATAACAGAGGAAGTCCTGATTCCATTGAAACCCTGCCTGGCCCTCCTAACATTCTGGCAGGCTGAGCCCAGGCTCTCTTCTGCTAAGGCTCACTCCACATGCTGGCATCAGCTGGCAAAGGAATTCCACTGGGTAGAGCCCCTGTGGAGGACCCCTTGCAGGAGAGACATTCTCAGGCCAACCAGACGCCAAGCTCAAGGCTCTGGGACAGGGTCCACAGTCCCTCCTACTCCCACCTAATAATCTTCATCAGCTGGTGCTCATGAACCAAATCGAGCTTGAGCCTGAAGAACCATTTACTTAGTCTGCATAGTTTTAAAAAATTGAATCATGACAGTTCATATCAAGCCTGGATTTTCCTGCTTCTATTTACAAAGCAGAAGGTCTGGCAACACAGATCTGAAACACCTTCATGGCAACAGCTGGCTAGAGCCTAGTAGCACGTGACCACTTTAAATGCCACAGACCCCATCAGGCTTGCTGTGTTCATTCATTTTAACTGTGTAGACCCTGACAGGCGTTTGAGTGAGCGATCTGTATGGAGCGACTCAGGAATCAGAGAAATGCTCACAAAACCATCCACCCAATATTGAAGACTGCTTCAAAGACAAAGGCCACTCCTGTTCCATCCATAATTCAACAGATATTTATTAAACATTTTGTGTTTGGCACTGGTGCACAACACTGAAGGTTCAAAGATAACATATTATCACTAACCTCAAGGAGCTCACATTTTGGCAAGGAAGATAGACACACAAATCTATAAGGTATAGTGTGATGAGTACGAAAGAGGTAATACAGGAATAACAGAGCGGAGAATCAACTCTGCCTGGCAGCCAAGACTCACTGAGAAGGCGGGAATTATGGTGAGTTTTTAATGAGTAATAAATAATTTTTTAAAACATCAATTAATAACTTCTAGAAAATGAAAATTGTGTAAGCAAGTAATTATGTTATAAGGTACTATGACATAATTATAGTACCTTATTTGTTTCAGCAGTGGACAATATTTATATGGTAATAATAATGTAAATACTGATAATTTAACAAAATTTGTCATAAAATCAGGACCAGTAATTAGCCAACACAGACCATGTGGAGAAAGTGGTTGTGATTAATCATAATCTGTGCTGTGCTAGTTCTTAAGTGTTTTGAGTACCACCCTTAGAGTAACTAGACTAGAATTAGAAGAGAATCTCAATAGGTAAAAGTCTAAACTTGACAAGTCAAGAAATAGCACTATAAGCATACTGTTGAGCAATACAGAGATAAACACAGAAGAGGCACCTGAAGGAGTCAAAAGTGGTTGATTCTAGGGTGCTGAAGACGCAGGGAGGCAGGTACAAAGATCTGCTATTCATCATGATAAACTTTTTAGTACTATTTGATTTTTTTTAATTTGTGTATATTTATTACTTTATTAAAAACAATTAATTTTTAAGAAAAGGATAAATAAAATTGTAATGAACCAGGGCATTCTAAATAAAAGGGACAACTTATAAAAAGACATGGCATGAATAACTTGTCTAGTTCGCTTGGAGGGTGATTGGGGCTTGTGATGGAAGAGGAGACTGGAGGGCTGGTAGGTCACAAATGGCCTAAGAGCCATGTTAGTTACTTTGAGTTCCGTTATGTCGCTAAAATGGGGTCATTGAAAAGTTTTAAGTGAGAAGCAACATGATCATCTTCTTTTCTTTCAGTTTGAAAAGTTTGCTTTAATACAAATACAGGTGATTTCAGACATACCTAAGTGAGGTGGTGGCACACAAAGCTGTATGGAGAAGAAATGAATGCGAGAGATATTCACAAAGTGAAATACAAAAAAAGACTTGGTGACTAATGGGCTAGAGTGGGAGATAAGGAAAAGGGAGTCTAGGATGACTCCGGAGTTTGTAACTAGAGTGAATGTCTGGATTGTGGTACCAATCACAAATATAAGGTATACAAGAAGACAAACAGGTTGAGGATTACTGTAGACTGAATTTCTTGTTGAAACCTAATCCCTAATGGGATGTGACGGGCCTTTGGGAGGTGATTAGGTTGTGAGGGTGGAGACCTCGTGTATGGGTCCAGAACCCTTGTAAAAGACACCTCACAGAGCTCCCTTGCCCCTTCTGCCATGTGAGGACACAGCAGAAAGATGGCTGTCTATGAACCAGGAAGCAGGCTCTCACCAGACATTGAATCTACTAGACCC